GAAAGGGAAAGAAGAACTCCACAGCTTTTGTCAAAACACCAAACAAGAAAGGGGAGAACGCTACTTTGAAAGGTACTATAGGAAAGGCTCTACTCCGTGGTTTAGTCAGATAAAAATGAACCGCCGTGCCTTCGTGTCAATAAACCGTATGCGAGCAGGACATACCAGTCTTAAAGTAAGTCTAAACAGATTTAACATTGTGCCCACGGCCGAATGTGAATGTGGTGACGGGTTGCAAACGGAGGAACATATTTTCTGGGATTGCAAACAGTGTGACGACCAAAGGGCAATAATGACGGGCATCCTCTCCGAGAACAGTAAAAAGAACTACCCAAAATCAGTCACAGAGCTCTTGAGGCTAGAAGAAAAGAGATTTCTGCAAGGCGTCTGCTACTTCATAAACAACATTCCCATATATATTTAAAACGGATACGTAAGGAAAGAACAAGAGGAAATGGCACGGACCACTCACAACATTCTCAAATTTATGCTAAGATGTGAATTAACCGCGGGCCCACCGCTACTACAGAAAGAGAAGTTTTTAGAATGTGCTACAGAAGGCCGGATGGGCATTGCCTAGGCCACTTTTGTATCCTAGTTTTTTTACCCAATAAAAAAAAAATGAATTAGAACTGAAAAGCTCAAATTAAGAAGTTTTCTTATAAATAAATTATGATTAATGTACAAATCCATAACAAATTAAGCAGTGGTCATGGCATCTAGGTGCACTTTGGAGTGCCTAATGAGATTTGTGTGTCGGGCAAAGAATTTCCCACATACATCACACAAATGCGGTTTTTCCCCAGTGTGTGACATGAGATGTTCCCTCCATCGACTCATATGCTGAAATGCTCTTGAGCAAATGTGACACTCAAAAACTGTATTATTCTTTCGTCTTCCTCTTCTTGGAATTTCACCTGGTTGGTAACGTCCTTCAGTATGAAGTCTAGCATGTCGAACCATGTTTGTCTGACGGGCAAAGAACTGTCCGCACATGTCACACATGAAAGGTTTCTCTCCATTGTGTGTCATCACATGACTCTTCAGGTGACTGTTAACTCTGAAAGTTTTGGAACACACAACACAATCATGCTGTAGTCTAATGTCTTTACTTCTTCGTCTTCCCTTCTGAAGATGTTGGCCTGTAAGGTAATCACTTTCACCATGAGATTTTAAATGGCGAACTAAATTGCTGTGACGTCTAAAATTCACTCCACATACTTCACACTTACAAGGTTTCTCACCAGTATGAGACATAAGATGTTCAACTAAATAAGGTTTCTTTTTAAAACTCTTCAAACAAACGGCACATTCAAAAACTGCAATGTCACCTTTGTATCGTTCTGTTTTCAGTTCCTTAGGTTTGTCCTTCGTGTGTTGTATGGAATGTCGGTTGAGACTGCTGTACCGAGCAAAAGCTACACCACACATATGACAAACAATTGGCCGCTCACCAGTATGTGTCATTAGATGCTGTGTCAAATGTGCTTTATTCACAAATGGTTTCTTGCAAAATGAACATCTACAGTTTGCAAAAGAATTTAAAGTTTTAGTGCAATTATTTTTATTACTGCACTGTATTATTTGTTGTGTTGTATTATTTTCAGCATCTACATAAATGAGTGGCTTCTGTCCAGCAGAATCTCTACTCTCTTCCTTTAAGCCCATTTCTCCATCCAAAATAGAAATATGGTCTGATAAACAACTAGATTCGTTTTCATCTCTGACACGTCCTACCAATTCCAGGGTCTCCGTCTTCAGTCCATTTGCTTCTTCATTGAAACAGCCATCATTTTTGTGAAGTGAACAGTCCTTGTCAGAAAAGGACACTTGAGCAGCAACCATTTTATTGCAAGATTCAGTACTATTAGTATCAGAGTTCAGCTGAGCATTTTCAACAGGCAATGTGTAAATGTTCCCTTGTGAAGAAATCAGAATTGTTGAATTGTAGACCATGTTTGTATCAACAGTACAAGATTCACTAACATTCAAGCACTCTTCCAAACAATTTTCTTCTTTATCTTTCATGTCCTGTGTGAAAAGAGTGTTATTATCTTCAACAACTTCAAATAATGTGTCAGCTGAAAAAATCTGTGTGTGTGTGTGTGTGTGTCTATATATATATTCAGGATGTCCCAGAAGGAATGGGGCAATCTTTGGGAGGGTGTTCCTTATGTTAAAGTATGCCGATATAACCCAAAACACCTATGTTCAAAGTTGAACGGTTACGGAGATAATGGCCAGAGAAGTGTGAAGCTTTGACCGGTGTTACACACTTGTTGATTACAAAATACATATTAAAACTGGCAGGAATATGTGGATTCTGTAATGTTAATAATGTATGTAACATCAAACTAACTTGTGAGTGACGTGAAGCCATAAAATTGAAGTACAAAATACTCGCTCGCCATGTCATAATTGTCCTTAGGGTTTCCAAGCACTATACATGACACATGACTGGCAAGCGCTGACATAACGTGGCTGACTGCGCTATAAGCCGACCACATAACTGTATTAAACGTACATTCACAGAAAATATCTTTTGGAATTTCGTTTCCATTATCTCATGTGGATTATTATGAGACCACGTATGCACATTTCGTAAATTATTTACACCGTCCAGGGTAAAAGACGCCTCATCACTGAATAAAATGACTCTTAACAGTTCGGGATGAGCTTTTTATCCAGTGGCACAAATCCATATGCTGTTCATGGTTGCCTGGTTCCGGATGTTGTACCCTTTAATCATGGTAAGGATAACTCTTCATCATGTAAAGTTTGTCACACCTGCATACATGATATGCCGATGCGAGAGGCCATTCTACGAGTGAACAGACGCGGACTTCTCTGAGCAATCTCAAGAATGTTCTCTCATTTGTCTATTATTCGTACATCCTCCCTTTCAGAGTGCACAGAAACACTCGGAAGAGAACCAGTATCACGCAATGTCTGGTGAATTTGCGTAAATACACTTTGATATGTAATTCTTCAATTGGGAAAAAGCCTTTGGTATTCTTCAACAGCAGCACGTGCATTTTTACCGCAAAATCCACACACAAAATGCATATCACAATATTCCACATGTGAAAACACAAAAGGCATTTCAGCAACTCCGCACAATTAACCTAGCACCCATTCACAACGCAGCGCCAATATACCCTGAAGGTAGCGCACAAGCTTACGGCTAGTGAATCAGCACACTCAAGGACAAACAGATAAGAATTGTCAGCTGACAGCTACAGTGCATGGACGCGCCAGAAGACCACACTTTTCTCGGGCCATTATCTCCGTAACCGTTCAACTTTGGACATAGGTGTTTTGGGTTATATCGTCATACTTTAACACAAGGAACACCCTCCCGAAATTTGGTCCATTCCTCCTGGGACACCCTGTATATATACTTTTTGGTGAACAATATACTGTTCATTAAGTAAAACTGAACGTGCATGATTCAAGTATCAGACTATTCACAGACACAAGGTACAGTCACTGAATAACACAAACTCTTAAACTACCAGTGGTTAGATACAAGGCACAGCTGGTGTTAGCATGATGCATAAAAATATAGCTTTATATTTTCATATAATTTAATTATTTCAATCAAACTGTAGGGTTTGTCATAAAAGCTGAGTATACCTACACAAGATCACCAATGAGAAATATATACTATGAGTATGAGGGGTAAGCCATAAAAACCAGCCCTCACACTGTGACCTTCAATGAGCTATTGTGCTTCCCCTTTGGATTAACCCTTCATTAATCCTACACTTCGAATTAAATGCAGGACTTTATTTATGGGGGCATCATAAAAGTCACTTGGTTCCATGAAGAAATGACCCAGGTGGTGATATCTTAGGTAAGATAAAATCACATAAGATGTGTGTGGCTGATTCATCTTCTTGCAGGCACCATTCACAAGTTTCAGTCCCAGTTTGAAAAGGTGCCCTTTTAGGTGGCAATGTCCAGTAAGTAATCCTTCCACCCATATTAGTTGATCTCTGTTTAATTTTAACAGGTCCCTCATTCTTTTGGCACAGGGTCCTAATATAAACCCTTTTGCCTGTTTGAGTTCAGTTGTGGATTGCCAGTGTTTTTTGTGATTTCTGTTAGTCCAGTCCTGATAACTTTCTCTGAAACTCCAACTGAGAAGCCGCAAGCTGGTTCAGGTCCTATGAACGGTTGTTCAGATCCTGTTCTTGTCAGGTGGTCTGTGGTTTCATTCCCAGCAATACCCTCGTGGCCTGGCCCCCACATCAGCTGAACTCTGTTGTGTGCGGGATTGGTGGCAATCCCAAAACAATTTTGAAGTGATCTGGTGTGTACCAAGTGCTTTGATTGCAAATTGACTATCTGACAGAATACAGATATTCCTATTTTTGTAGTTTCTATCTAAATTCTCAACTGAAAATGCCTTAATGGCATACCCTTCTGCCTGGAATAATGTTATATACTGACCAAGACCAAAACTATGTTTCCACCCTGTTCCATCACAATACACTCCAGCTCCAGTGCCTTTATTTGTCTTGGAGCCATCTGTATACCAGATTAGTCCCTCCTTTCTATAAGGTTTAAACCCCTCTATGCATTCACTTCTATCAGGAAATCTGATTGTGAAGGGTTTATCACAGACATGTTTCGGAATCATTTTATCAGATCCCATCTGTAGGATGGGTTCCTTTTCCATGTCCTGAATCATGTATGCGTGTCCAAAATGTTCAGATTTAGGTCTCCGTTGTTCATTGCAACGTAATCTGTAATTTCCTAACTTGGCCTCTGCTTCCATTTGCAGATGCAGTGAGGGGAGTCATAGTAGGATTTCCATTGCAGCTGTTGGAGCTGTTCTCATTGCTCCCATAATTCCCAAGCAGGCCGTCCTTTGCAGTTTGCTTAGCTCAGCCTGACTTGTTTTAAGTTTAACTCTTGGCAGCACAGGTAATTATGGATCTTACTATAGCAGTGTATAACCAATACACCACCTTTGGTTTCAGTCCCAAAGTTTTTCCAAACGTGCCTCTGCATGTCCAAAAGGCCTTATACACCTTGTTAATAGCCTTGTCCAGCTGTTTTTTCCATGTCAGTCCCTTGTCTAATGTTATTCACTGGATTGCCAGATTGCTTGACTGAAGAGGACTGGTTCCTTAAGCCCCTTGATATTCCTCCTGCTATTAAAGGGTATAATGACTGTCTTGTTTGGATTGATAGACAAGTTTGTTCTTTCACACCACTGTTGAACTAACTATGTGCAGGGCTGTAAGACCTCTGACACAGTGTAAGGGAATTTCCCATTCATTAGGATTGCTATATCATCAGCATATCCTGCTGTGAAATGACCTTTACTGTTGAGCTCCCAAAGATCATCATCCACGATCAGGCTCCATAGCAGAGGGGAGAGAACACCTCCCTGCGGACACCCTCTCGCCGCAGACGCTCTCAGGGTCTTTCCAGACAATTTAGCACTTATATTCCTGCTTTCCAGCATAGCTCAGATCCATCTGCATCCTGTGGGCTCAATGCCATGCCTTTCAGGAGCCTGTTTTATTGTGTCAAAAGAGGTTCTGTCAAAGGCTCCCATTACGTCAAGGAATGCTTCAAGGGCAATATCCTTGTGTTCGATGGCATTTTCCATGTGTGTAACCACATTATGCAGTGCTGTTTCAGTAGACTCACCTATTTGGTAAGCATGTTGGTTTCGGTGCAGAGAATAAATCTTCAATATACCGTCCATACTGTATCTATCTACTACTTTCTCCATCGTTTTCAAAAGAATATGACAGGCTGATGGGATGATAAGCCTTAGCCTCGGTATAATCAAATTTCCCGGGCTTCATTATAAACGTCACTTTGACTTGCCTCCAGGCTGTAGGGATAAACCCATGCGCCATGCAGGCTCTGAAATTGTGGCATAGGTGTGGGACTAAGTGTTCCATCCCTTGCTGCAGAAGTGCTGGAACAATTTCATCTGTTCCCGCAGACTTAAATGATTTTAAGGTACCTAACACCCATCTAATTTTTGATTGACTACCCGATCGGCCAGGTTCCAGTCTCCCCTGTTCATTATGTGTCCACATATGCCCAGGTTCTGCTGGACCTGCCCATCACCTGAATCATCAGTCAGCTTTGAATCAGGGAGTGAACTCTGAACAGTTCTTTCAGTGTCCCTTTCCCAGTTTGGGTATACTTACCATCAGGGAGTTTGATAGTACTGACCTTGTTGGTCACCTCTATTGCCATGACCTTCATGAGTCTGGCACTGCCTGGTACATCACTGATCTCCTGGCAGTACCCCCTCCATGAGGATCGCTTGGCTTGCCTTATTTCTTTGTTACAACAGGTAAGGGTTTCCTTATAGGTATCCCACTGCCCTCTTCTTTTCACTATATTGAATAGTCTTCTTGCTTTGGCTGCTAGCCCACTCAGCTTGTTATTCCACCAAGGTGCTGTCCTTGGTGAGTGTCCTGGCTGGAAAATTATGATAATAGGACAAGATGATGGCCTGTTGCAACTGGTCAACAGATTGATCTGTGTTCCTTATCATGCATATATTTTGCAAAATAATCTCCAGATTCACCTTTAGGTTGCCCTTGTATGACTTCCAACTGGTTCTCCTAGGATTCCTAACTTATTTTGTTGTTATGCTACCTGTTTGAAAGCATACGTTTCTGTGGTCCGATTAAGACGCCTCGCCAGATACATGTCAATTACTTACCAGTTTTTCTATTTTATATGTCCCTAGTGTCAAGTCAATATTCTCCTTCCTATTGCAGACCACACAGTTAGGTTTGTTAACATGAGTTAGAATATGCAGGTTTCAACTCACCAGAAATTCAAGTATCAGACTATTCACAGACACAAGTTACACTCACTGAATAACACATAACACTGAAACTAGCAGTGGTAAGATACATACAAGTCACAGCTGGTGTTAGCAAGATGCATAAAAATATATCTTTATATCTTCATATAACTGAATTATTTCAAACTGTAATGTTTGTCATAATAAAAGTTGAGTATACCTACACAAGATCACCAATGAGAAATACATAATAAATTTTAGTCAGGAATCCTAATGAGGAGATCCTCACTGTGGAGACCAAGGAGTTGAGGATAGGCTAACATAACATTCAATGGCAACCCTCACACTATTAAGTGGCAGTGTGTGGGTGTTCAACAATATCAATGGTTTTCCAGTTATTCATTTCTTAAACATGCAAAATCATGAGACAGATATTTAAAACATAAAAAGAATAATTCATATTTCTTTCTTTCTAGATAAATCGATTTCACAAAGTTCCAGAATCGTTCCAAGTATACTTAAGAAAATGGAATGATTTTAAAATTCCCATAAGGAAACAGGATGGCATCCCACCACATCTCCTCTCATCTCAAGCACTGCTCCCACCACAGAAAAAAGACCTTCACATTCCATTTTTATATGAAATAATCCTGAAGTTCCACAAATATCCATTTGTCTTCTCTTTCTTGTTTTGTACTGAGCCTCATAATGTGTACTGAAGTTTCAGGAATTGTGATTAAATCCTCTGCAGATACAGCTTACTGACTTAAATTTGAAACAGTCCTACTGTGCCTTGGGAAGCATATGTAACACAGAAAATTGTTCTCCATTTTCATATAAAAGTAAAGTTGTCCCTGTGCTTGACTAATCAAGCACTACACCATGAAGGTGTATGGGGGAATGGATGTAGAGATCCATATTTTCTTGAACTCGGCACTAGTTAGAGGTGAGTGGTCAGCTTCACAACCTGGCCACTTTATACCAGGGGAAAGAGTCCAGTACCCATTTGATAGGAGGCTTGGTGGGCCCCAGAATTGGTGTGGCTGACATGAAGAGAAAATTCTTGACCCTACTGGCATTCAAATTCTGATACCTCTCTCTGTTGTCCTGTCCATAGCCAGTCGCTATACCGACCGTGCTATCCCGGCTCACCTTCTCTATTTTCATGTAATTGAATTATTTCAATCAAACTGTAATGGTTGTAATAATAAAAGTTTAGTATACTCGTACCTACACAAGATCACCAATGAGAAAAATGTATACTAAATTTTAGTCAGGAAACCTGATGCAAAGATCCCCACATTTGAGACCTAGGAGTTTAGGACAGAATAACATTAAAATTGACATTATATAATTCATGTCACTTGAGACAGAGCCCAATGTTAAGGTCTCATAAACTCACAAACACAGTAACAAACTTTCAGCTCCCATAAGAGTGGGAGCATTTCTTGACTAATTAACCCCTTGAGCGTAACTTTTAGCAGAGCCATTTAAATCCCTAAGCATGTGCGACGCACCGTCTGTGGCCACTCAAAGCCGTGCTGTACGTAAGCATGTGCGCCGCATATATTGCGTCCAAACTTTTCACTAAGAATTCTTAACGCATACGCTCTGATGTGTGTACTTCCAGTGAATGTATATGTCAGCTAACACTGACTTCTTTCATTCCTTGCTATCTGTTCGTGTGTGGTATTTTTTTTTTTTTACTCGCTTTGCTTGGGACAAAGCATCTGGTGTCTGCTGCTTACGAAAGAATTGTTCCAACTCACATTTCGACTTGCTTACAGAGAGATAATTTGTTAGCTAACTTTCATTGAGTGCTTGTTATCTGTGTGTGTATTTCTTTTTACTGGCTTGGCTTACTGTCGACAAAGAAGCTGTGTCTGATTTACGATGTTACGAACCTCGGGGTCGAAGTTGCCTGACGCCTGTGTCAACATTTATGAATCTGTTATTCCTTTTCTGCTTTGCGACACCCTCTTATCGGAGCCCCATGGCATTTGGTCACGTAACTTGTCTGGCGGGACAGTTTCTTGCCCTGATGCTAATAAAATAGCGCTTTCAAAAGTGGGTTCCCATAACTTCGAATGAAATTAGGATATTCCTAGGTTTCCTTATGCTGATGGGAATAATTCAGAAACCAAACCTCAGGATGTATTTTAGTAGGAAACATATGTTAGAAACACCATTTTTTCCCAATGTAATGAGTGAAGAAAGGTTTTCATTGGTGACCAGATTTCTCCATTTTGTAGATAACACCAATAAGGAAATTGCAAAAAGAGATCCTAAATTGTACAAAATTCTTCCGGTAAGTGAATATTTGAAAAATAAGTTCCAGAAAGTGTACATACGGGGCAAAGAAGTAAGTGTCCATGAATCTTTGTTATTGTGGAAAGATTGACTTTCATGGAAACAGTATATTCCTATGAAAGCTTCCCGGTTTGGGATTAAAATTTTTTAACTTTGTGATTCCACAGAATATTTGTGGAATTTTATAATTTACAGTGGATCAGGGATAAAATTAGGCTGTGAAATCACCAAAGACACAGATCTTTCCTCAACAAAAGTTGTTCTAAGTTTGTGCGAGGAACTATTAGACTCGGGCAGATGTGTTTTATATGGACAATTTTTATAGCAGTCCCGATCTTTTCCAGAGATTAGTTCAGAGGAC